ACTGAAATATCTCAAAGGTTCTCTTAAAAAATGAAAAGGTACTCATCACTAGACTTATAGACAACAATCCTGACAACAAATTCAACTTTCAAGGCATAATTTAATCACAACTCTACAATAAATATTTACAAAATTTATAAAGGAAAGAATGGCGTGTCAAAGCAAGATATTCTGGATCAATGCCAACATCTGAGATAGCGCACCCACTCCCCGCCTCACCCAAGATTAACTCTGACTTGTTACCAGTTAACTTCTGTTGGGTTAGCGGAGTAGTAACTGCGCAGTTGCTTAGAAACTAACATCAATTTGATATTCTTTCTCGTTGCTTCTTGGAAGTGTCCCTTTCACAGCACCACAATGTTCATCAAAAAGTTTTCTTTTTAGACAAAGTTGGCGATGTCGAAGAGTACAAGGAGGGAAAGGTAGTCTTTGTGAGTTCTAGTCTATGCGTGTTGACCTTCTAGTAAGTATTTGAAGATTTCTCCAGTCCATCATACATAAGGAATACTGATCCGTGTACAGATCCAACAAAAGTAAGGGAAATACTTCCTCTTCGCATCTCAAAGGTACAAACTGGCAGCAAAAACGATATCCCGCTTGATTTTGATTATTCCTTGAAAAACAAAAGTGAAAAAACCTGTTCGCAAACTCCGGTAAACCATTTTTCCAATACATTATTACATTAATTTGCTCATGGTAGTTTTTCTCCTACTACACTTCACAAGACCATGGATTTCTGGGGTAAATTATACGAACTTGATGATAAACTAATTTTTGTTTTGGTTTTTTTGTTTTTCTCTTTTCAATTTTAGGGTCAAGGTTAGCATTAGAGGACGTGAATGGGCAAAAAGTCTCACAAGTCTGAAATCTCCCGGAGATTTTGAGCACTCTTACCAGACCCTAAAGTTTCTGAAAAATCGTAAATGAAAGACAATTTTAAACTTTAACACAAAACAAATTACCTTCTGCAAACTTGTTTTCCAGCTCTGTGTTTCCTATTGCTTTGGACGCTTGACACATTTGTCTCAAAAGTTCTTCCAACCGCCTCATACAACGAATAATACTCCCTAAAAACAAACAAACAAACAAACAAACCGATATTGTTTAGTGCGCATGAACTTCACTTTGCGTGACTACATTATCTTCTGTTGTGTGACAGCTATGAATAGGGAGGTCATGCAATCATTTTCAAATGGAAGCGGTTTTTACCTTCAAATGCATCAGTCATTTTACAAATCTGTGAGAATGAGGCTCCATTTGCCCAGGCAAAAACCACGTCCATGATATGAGGTTTGAAGGATTCCACATACGTCTCCACGTCTATTTCAAGTTTAGCTTCTTCAGAAACCTTTCCAATACGACGTGCAGATTCCTGAAAGATACAGCTACGTATTAAAATAGGCAACAAAAGATTGAACTAAAGGTAAAGTTGTTTACCCAGTTGACTGTCTATGTAATTGACCGATTGCCCGACAAACTGGGTAACTAACTGATTGAAAGGCAGACAGACAGGCCGACTGACCGACGAACTCACCAGCTAGCAGACTCACCAACTGAGTGACTGACTGACTGACTGACTGACGGATGAACCAACTCACCGACAAACGTACTGACGGACTGACTGACTAACTGACTGGCAGACTGACTGGCAGACTGACTGGCAGATTGACTGACTGACTGACTGGCTGACTGACTGAGTGACTGACTGATTGGCTGACTGACTGACTGGCAGACTGATTGAATGACTGACTGACTGA